GTCATATCTCGTCGAAAAAAGTTTTAGTGCCGTTACAAACTTATTAACAAAAAAAAAGGAGCAGATTGAATATCACAGAAAGGGGAAATTTACAGTTATTCCTTACAAACCTCAAGCCAAATATTGATAATTTGCTGTCAATCCATCAAGTACATCCCTCTCATTAAAATTATATATTTTTTGTAATTACCATTGTAGAAATTACATTACGTTATAAGTGTTTAATTTTAATTATATTACGACGGTTATAACAATAATAATTAATAGTGTAATAATTTATATATTTAAATTTAAATAAATACTTATAACACAAGGAAATATACTATATTTCTTTTTACCACTCCATGGGACGTGTTCTAAATAAAATTTGTGAGAATTGATTGGTTCTTGTGCTGTGAATCACTGTAGATTTCAAAAAAGTAAAGTTGGATGTAGTCACTTTTTCGTTTGGCCAACTTTGCTTTTTTGACATCCACTCACAGCACAATCAATTAAAATTTAATTGAAAATTTGTGTAGTCGACTTTATTATCAAATAATTAACCCTATCAAGCAATCAATTCTAACCTTTTTTTCGAAAACTGTTAATTCGTCGTTAAAACTCAGCCACAACGCAAGTTTCCATAGATAGATCTAATCTTCACTTTTTTTTTTTCGAGATTTAGAAATTGGTAGTGATGTAGCTACATGGAGTCCACCGGATCCAGCAAAATTTTGAAAATGGTCTATGACACAAAAGAGTTTGGGAACTTCTGATATAGACGAAGGTGTTTATGAAAAAAATTGTGCCTACGTAAGAAACTTTTTTATTGTTGCTTTCAATCGCAAAATGTTATTTTGTTTATTTTGTATCTTTAAATCTACTTCTTTGTTAATATGCGACAAAAATTCAACCTCAGTTGACTGTCGTGCGTTATATGCAATCGTATCAAACATACGTTTTTAGTGTCTATGGAGAAGCTTCCTCTTGCAGTTGCTACTTCTGGTATTTACTTCGTTACTTCGGCTTTTTATATTAAAATTAAATTACTTAACTACAAACTCTATGCAAGGTATTACTGCATTTGCAAAACATGCAGATTGAATAACCATACGGAACCAAAACAATACCACGTGCGAACAATATTAGTAGTGCAATGATGCCAGTGTTGCAGTGCGGTTTATGAGAGCCCTATATGTTATAGAGGTACTTCCGTACTTGGCAACAAGTCAGAATGTATGTGATCAGGCGCAAATTCTGTCTAGTCATAGTCAAGTATTTGTTTTCTGTAGTGTTGTTAGGATAAATTAAAAGCTCTGGCAACTCTGCAGTTTCTTGTTTCATCCCATCTTTCCTTGAATTTTTTTAAATCAAAATTACCTGATAAGTTTATCATCTGGGCCCCAAATTTATTTGAGCAAAATCGAGTTGCAAAAAATCATGATTTTTGAGCATTGATTTTCCGTATCTCGAAACCTGTTGATTTGATGAAAAAGTCTTAAGATCTTTTTTGTCTTACATTTTCTAAGCTACAGAATTGGTTTTAGTCACTTTTTGAGTAAAAATGACCGTTACGAAAATATTCACGAAAAACCGTTTTTCGCGCTCTTTGATCCCGCCAAATTTTTAGAAGCACATTATTAGTTTATTACTTCCGCCTTTGTTGTTTACTTATTTATTTAGAAGTTTAGCTAGGTACCTACCTGTGCACCTAATTACAATTAGCTACCATATCGACTGGTCTATTGCAAAACCGGAATCTCTTCTAAAATACGTTCTTGAAATATTAACATACCTAGTTAATTATTTTATACTTGAACGTCTATAACGATATATCAATACCTGTTTACGCCAAGGTTGCTTTTATTCTGTTCTTTCGTAATTTTGCGGTAGCCCAATTGAAAATGTTATTACACCATTATGGATAAATTTTTGACTTTCGTTTGATGACATAAAATTGGGATTCCCCTTGTTACTGGGTCGACATGCGTTAAATAATTCTATAAAAAACCTCAACCGTCCAAATATTTATTTTTAAACATTTCTTTACCTTTAAACATTTCAGATACTCATAATTCTACAGGGAAATTCAGTTTATTTCGGCAGGATTTTACCAGCTGATAGTTTATCGAAAAATTAAGGTAGGTACTTTGTCCACTAAACTAAGACCCATTTTTGCTTTTTTTTAAGTACAGGGTCTCAACAAGTTTAGAAACGTGCAAAATTGTTAGTTTCAATTTTTTCCTAGAAAAACAAGTGAGATTCGAAAAATATTTAAGAAATAAAAATGTGGTATTTTTAGTTAGTTTATTACAAACATTATGAAAAATGAATATATATCTTTTGTGCCGAAAACTAAACGAAGTTTCCTGTGAACACGCATCTGGAAATAGTGGATCAACTGCAATATCGCACACTCAGCAATAAAGTGGCTTAACTCAAAATTTGCATGTAGAGCTTCTTAAATAACGGTGCTACTCCAACGCTAAGACATACTACGTTGGAGTAGCACCGTTATTTAAAAAGCTTTACTTATGGAAGGCGCCATTTTGGGCTGTTTTTCAATTAAAAGTTTAAACATGCAAATTTTGGGTTATGCCACTTTATTACTGAGTATGCAAAAGTTCGAAAGACACATAAAGTTGTCAACATAAATTCAGTCAAAACCTTTTTTATATATCAATAAAAAACTATTTAAAAAAAATAACACCCTATACATCAAAAAAGAAACAAAATTGGACCATGTTTTATCGAACAAACTATCTTTATTTTTCGATATACATATTATCAGCTGGTAAATTGACGATATAAACCGGACCACCCTAAATAACTGTTAGGCATATATACAGTGTAAATCCTAAATTGATACTTTTTCAAATAAATTTAAAAAAATCAAAAATAAGACATTGTTCCAAAATGTACCCAATACGGTCAATTCACCTCAATACAAACACACTTCTACACAAACCAAAGACATACACAAACGCACTTCAGGTCTTCTCGTATCGGTCATCCTACGACATGTTCTCCACGATGTTCCTAAAACATGTTCTCCACGATGTCGCCGGAGTTAAAGCTACTAAAATTACATAGACTACTGAATTTCAATAACAGCTGGCTCATGATTCATGCATTAGAAAAATCTAAAGAAAGGTAAAACAGATAAAAAACAAACTTAATTTTTGATACACAATTCCAGGCCCTGATTTAGATTTTTTAATTCTGCAAAGAAAAGGTATCTGAAAAATATGTCTATTTTAACGATTTCTACAAAAATAATCAACTTAGGATTCACCCTGTATATCTACCATCGTGTACATTGCATAATTTATTTTAATTTCCATTTCATAGCTGGGTGAAAGATGCCTATACTTACCGAATTTACCAAGCGACTTTAATCAAAAAACAATCAACATTGGTAAAATGGGATGTCCTTTATTTAGATTTATATTATCACTGTATAAAGGTAGTTATTTATACAAATATACAATGGTGTGATTATTTTAAAAAGTACCTTACATAAAAATTTACATAAAAAAATTGAATGACATATGGAACATCTGAAACATTATTTTTATTTAATAACTACGATAATCATTATAGTTATCGCTAGATAGATAGAAAGGTACCTATACAGGGTGTCACACTATATTTTATTCGGCTAACAACGTTCATCTACCCCTGCGAAAGCTCTCGTTAATTGATGAATTTTAATATAGAAACATGAACCCTTGTCCGTATCTCTGTATCTGTAACGTTTATAGAGAGGGTTACCAGACGGCACTTAGGCCTGCTAGCTTCTAGCTCGGGAGCTCTTTTGACTCTATTTTCTAAGTGTGAGTTCCATGTCAACTTGTTGTCAAAGGTGCTACCTAGGTAGTTAATCTCTGTTGCAAAGTTTTGTTTTGTGTTTAGAAGCTATGAAGGTTTTAATTTCATTTACATCCTTTTCCTTGTGAAAAGGACAATTTCTGTTTTATAATTGTTCTCAAAATTTCCTATTTGCAGAATAACCAGATCATCTGCTTAGGGTATTGTGTATAGTGACTGTCATTTTTGTACCTATATACAGTATCTTTTTCTTTATTTAATAATCTCTTTTTCACAATGAACATAGAATTTTCTCTCATTGTTACTTTAGTATGTGTTTAATTCTTGTGAACCAAACGACAAAAATTGATTAATGTGTATACGTTTCCCAGTGTATTAAGTTCTCATACTTTGGTACATACGAAAATTCATTCAGTTTCGCTTCTTGGATAGGTATTCTTTGTACGAACTAATAAAATTTGACACGTGCCCACTAGATTAGAATTAAGAAATATTGAGTAGTTACAAATTAACTAAGAACTTGCTGTTTTTTGTTTAGAGGCACATTTTTACAACACCGTTAATTTTAGCTCCATAAGAGTTTATTATTTTTTTTTAACTAGAAGTGATCAAAGAATAAAAAAAATAAAAAAAAAATAAAATATTTGTTCAAACGGCGTAAAAATAGGGAATAAAAGTTGCCACTTGACCTGATAGACGCCATTAGTTAAATGTTTCAAAAGATATATTATATCAAAATATTAAATAACACATTGGACACCAAATTTCATCAAATAGGTATATTTAAAGGCGTTTCTGATTTTTAATTTAAAACTTTTAACATCCTGTATCGCAGTAACTAAGGCCTATAAGAGTGTATGTTCTCATATCAAAATTCATCAATTAACGAGAGCTCTCTGGGGGCAGAGCGTTATCGGTCGAATATACTAACACCCAGAGATATTAGGTATTAGGTCTTTTCCTTTGCGTCGAAAGTGTAGCACATGGAGGAAGGATAGTGTAGCACTGAGCTACGTTACTTCTGAAAATATCGTTCCATCCATACAATTTATATATATGGAACGATATTTTCAGAATTGGTGTAGCCCAGTGGCTACACTTTCGATGCAAAGGAAAAGACCTAATATCTCTGCTAAAATCATTGTTGTTCTTTATACTTTGCTAACACCCTGTATAACAAATAGAAGTCCAGTTCATTGAGTTAGACCAGCAAAACAAATACATGGCAACGCCGAAATGGAATCCGTACTGTAAATAGGCGCTCATCTTTTTGACTTTGACAGTAGTTTGACGTTACTGACATTACTATTACCATTGTTTACATTTTCAATGTTGTTATTTGTTAATTGTTTGCCAAAAGATACAAACCATCTACATCTGAAACTAAATTATTTTGAAAAATATGTAGAGTAGATATTAGTATTGAATTATATTCAATTATTTATCAATTTCCAATCAGTTTAGAATTTATTGAAAAAGTAAATGGAACTGAATTTAAAAATATGTCTAAAAAAGAAACAGCAACATTATTATTACCCCAGCCCCAAGCGATTAAAGTGGAACCAATTTTTAACAACGCAGGTAAATATACGATTTTTTCGAAAAGACTGGAATCAAGTTGTTTTGTGTTGTTTTATTGAAATTTCAAATGTAGTAGGTAAGTTAATACTGAAAACTTATTTCTTCATCAGATCAACTTTCCAGGTGGCAAATTTATATCACTCCTATGTTACAGCTTTTGCTCGCGTCTACCATCTAGTAATTGCTGTTCAACTAAGTACAATCCAATCCTAATATTTATTTATTGTCAAATAGTACATCGATTCATTTCTAGTAACTTTCCCTACCCTAACAATATTTTATAATAACTGTTGCCTTTGTTTTATCAACCTAGCACCCCTATTCACCAGCTTTCATGTAAAATTGTTAATATTACCTGAAAAATTGTTAATTTTTTTTTTTTGAAAAAAATGAATTGTGTCATTATTATTAATTTGCACAAGTTATGGAACTTTTATTTACAATAGCGATACGTATTTTAGTTTTTTCATAATCGAAAAGTGATCAAACTAGATATTTATTAAAAACAAAATAATATAGACATAACATTTTACATCACAAAAAAAATAACTTCATGCATTTAAAAGAAAATACCCTGCTGTGAGACTTTTTAGCAACCCCAGATGAATAATAATAATTTTTTATCCAAAATAAGTTGTTCATTTACTTCATTCAATTTTAGGCGAGGATGCATTCATGGAAAATTTAATTACTTGTGATTATACTACTTCTATGGATATAAAGCAAGAAATAGGTGATGAAAGTGTGGCTATAGATAATGTTCCGAATAATAAATTTGAACTGATAGTTATAGAAAAAGGTGATAGTTATCATCAAGGTAATAAATATATTGTAGTTTTATACCAATACCCAATGCTTTAAGACCCTCATTAACATTCTTTAATGTCATTCCGTAACATAAATAATTTAAATTTTAGATGGTGAGGCAGACATGGATATTAATAGTACAACTGCTGGAAATTTAATTAAAAATTATAATAAATGTTCTATAGAAATAAAACAAGAAATCTGTGATGATGTAGATGTTATTCCTAATAGTGAAACTGAACCAATAGTTATAGAAAAATGTGAATTTTGTCATGAAGGTATTATTCAATTAATTATTTATATTTTTGAAATTATAAGAAGAATTGTAAATCTCTTGTATCTGTAATGATTTTCTACGAAGTTTTAAGTTTTACCAGATTGTTTTTAATTGACAACATTGCTGTACCATTAGCAAACCTTTACACGAAGGTATTTGTAAAAGTTGCTAGGTCTGCAATAACTAAACAGTATACAGGATGTTATTGAAATATAGTATGTAGATATTAAAACAGATTAATAATTATGCTCTCTAAAAAAATAACAATTTATTTACAAAATGTATGCCACCTATAAGAATTTACAACTGTACATACAAATTTCACAAAAAAAAAATAGAATACCATGATTGCAGAACCGTTTAGAGGCCATTCATAAATTATGTCATAGGAATTTCATGATTTTTTGACCTCCCCCATTCCTTGTCCTTATCACAGCTGATCACATTTGTGAGACTCCCCCTTCTCTAGTTCCCTAGTGTGAAATCACATATTTTGCAATTTTACATCTAGAAATTATTAAATTAAAAATATTTTAAGTTTTTCATTAATAGTTCAAATTTCGAGTTTTAATCCTTAGATATATTAGATTTTGAAATGTGACGTCACGAAAAAGGCCTTATATTAAATGGTCAGAAATAAAAGATGTTATCAAATAGGTAATAAACATCAAAAGATAAAATATTTAGGTCAAGCAAACCTCAGCAAGAAAAATGAGATGAAGATTGAGGTAAAAAACTTAGTAACAAATAGTTGAAGACAATTAAAACGTTATTTATTTTTTAATGTCTACATCATCTTTTTTCATGACTTCAGTCTTAGTTGTAGGTGTCATCACTTACAATTAAAAATATTTTAGACAGGCTACGTCTTGCGACAATTTCCTGACTTAATTTCAAGACTACAAGGTTTATAATAATTATTGTATTGTTATTAGATAATGGTATTGAATAAAACTACGGGCACCACCATGTAACGTTTTATTCCATGCTCCACGATACACATACTAATGGTTTGCTGACTTTCGATTCAAATTTCGTCCAAATCGCGCAGTGACGTAATGCGGAACGAACTTTCAAGTTATTTTACACTTCTCGATTGAATATTGTAAAATATTGTAATAATTTATTTGTTTTTGTGTTAGTAGTGACTATATTTTCCTGTATATAACAGAGAAGGACTGAATTAATGTTTAAAATGCCGGACTGCATGGTGGCGACTTGCAAAAACCATAATACGAAATCTAAAAATAGTGTAATGTAAAATATTTCCAAATGCCACAAAATGTGGGTAAATTCTTATAGAAGAATGGACAAACTTAATTTAAACAATGGTTAGTAAAATGCCCAAGTATAATAGCAAAGAAAATAAATAGGTATTTTAAAATTTTAGCAGATAAAACAGTAGTTTCTTGTCCCAGTACAACGGTCCCTTTTGAAGTAATACTTATGCATGATCAGGACATGAACATATATAAGAATAAGATACATGAACAGAATAATTGGTTTTGAGTATTTTCAAAGTAAACTTGACTAAAAAATGGTTAAGTATACCAAATAAAAAGTAATTTTTTGTGTACTTACTTTTTATAAATAAATAATTTGTTTCTGCACACTTATTTTTATTTCACAAAATAATGAAAGGGATTTCAAGAGAATTACCACGCCCAGAAAGTACAAATTTGAGTCAAACTTGTATTTTCAGTCTATATTCTTTACTTATCTTGTGGCCAGATTATGGATTTTGTCACAAAATACCTATAATTTATGAGAAAAATTAATATTTTTATTGGTATTATTTACCTTATCCCTTCATATTTGTAAACGAATATATTACAAAATAACCAATAAAGCTTAAGTAACTGAATAAAATCTAAAACCGGCGAAATATCGAATTTCAAACACTATCTCCCATTTAATGCTAATAATTCTATGTCCCAAGTGACGTCACCGTCAGTCAGCTGCATGCGCAGGAACATACCGTTAGTCTGTGTATCGTGCCATGCCCAAGTCCACTGTCAATATCCCATGTTGAAGCATATTTTAGAAATGATAACATCTCCCCTTTGTAATAACTATTTTTTATTTAAACATAATTCAAGTAGGAAGGCTTTCGAACATCCCATTTTATCCGTTGCCATGTAGTTGTGGTATCAGACACCTTATCATTGTTAGTACTGACATTTCTACAATCACTATGTTGTGACGCATTTCTCACCCTGTCATTATTTTTCTTCATTATCACTTATTGTTTATTTTACACCTCTTCTTTATTAGTATAATCAAATATAAATATTAGGATTCAATGGAAATAAACTTGCAGGAGACTGATGAACTTCCATTAATGGTGCTTGCACTAAACACCACCTATTTATATAGAATAAACCTTTTTCACAAACACAATAAAATAACCTCAAAATTTACTGCCCTCTGACTGTGCTGACAAGTCATCTGTCACGCATCAGACCTTGTATATTTGACCACAAGGAGCACGGTGGTCCCGTGCTGTCCTGGATTGACCGCTTCGTCTCAAACCGGTTACCCAAACTGACTCGGGCAAATATTTTCTTAAATGACATATATAATTTTCTGAATCTTTCCTCCTTTGCTCAACATTTACTGAAACATCGACTATTTTATTCAGTTTACTTGGTAATAATGGTAAGAAACTTTTCAATTTTCTGTATATCAGACAACATACAGTCTTAGAAAAGCACTATATTATTTTCGTTAAACATACGCCATTTTCGTTTTTTTTACCATGGATTGCCTGAGAAGGATCAGATAAGGCCATGACAGGCTCCGAACTCTTCGGTGGAGTTGCTAAGGCATTGTGCAAGGCATCATTAAATAATGGGTACAAAAGTAGTCTCAAAAATGAAACAACTATCCAGTATAGAGGCAGGCCAAACAGTTAAAGAACCGTCGGCCAAGTTCATGAAAGACATACTGGTTGACAAATCGTTAGGTTAACAGTAGGTCTTTTTACCAAACAATGTCGCCTAAGAAGGCACATGAGTGTCATCAATCTAGCAGAACACTAAGTGAAGAAACTACATGCAGGAACCACTGTCAAAGCTGCTAAGTCTAATAAAAAAGACCAAGCTAGACAACATACTCTAAAAAACGGAGTCCCACAGTAGATCTGAAAATGCAAGGACAAATAATGTCCAACTTGTACTCTCAATTTTGTAACGAACCGGCAACAGCGCAAACGTGGCAGGAAAAAAATCAAAATTGAACCATTTTAAAATTTAATGCTAAAATCCTCTTGTCACTTTGAATATGTACATGTACCCATTTCAATAACATCCTGAATTTATAGAACAGATGACTAAATTACTTTTCTCTTGAAAAATTTTTAAACTAGTACTCTTCATTTTAGAATTTTTCTCCCCGAAACTCAAGGAAGACCACATAGACGTACATCTAAGCGAAAATATTACTTGCCCCGTATGTAATAAAAGTTTCAAAACTAAAGGCGACTATTTAAACCACTATCCTATCCACCAGTCGCAAATATCTCCTTCTAATGATTCTTTTGAATGTAGCACATGCCTAAAAACGTTCGTCAATAAACAAAATTTAACATTTCACGTAAAAATACACCAATTGACTGCTTTTCAATGCCAAGAATGTTTTAAATGCTATACGAGAAAGGATGATTTGATTATCCATATGAGGGTGCACAGTGGAGAGAGACCGTTCAAGTGTAAAGAATGTTTGAAAACTTTTACACAAAGAGGAAATTTAAGGAGCCATACATTGACACATTTGGGCCAAAAAGAACAGTGTCCCTTCTGTTTAAAATTATTTTCCAAACAGAGTTTAAAGAAACACGAAAAACGCCACAAAGAGAAACCGAAATTTTCCTGCGATTCATGTCCACGAAGTTTCTACGTGCTGTCGCACCTGAAGAGACACATGATCAGCCATACGGGTGAAAAAATGTACCAGTGCGAGCAATGTTATAAAAAATTTACCGAGCCACAACATTTAAAACGGCATTTGCTTGTTCATTCAGGTGTCAAGGCATTCCAGTGCGATTTTTGTTTTAAGAAGTTCACCGAAAAATCTCATTTGAAGAGTCACATGAAGAACAACCATTCGTCCGATAAACCCCACGCATGCCCCGTTTGCTTTAAAGGTTTCAGAAAGAAGTCCGACGTGACGAATCATGTACAGAATCAACACGTTCAGGAGAAGATTTTCAAGTGTTTGCTGTGCGGACAAGGTTTTTGTAAGGAGTTTTTCCTTAGAATGCATTTGAAGAGCAAACATGGTGATATTAAAACGGATAATGTAGAAGTTAAAGGTGAATTTTCGGAAGTGGCTAAAAAGAGTACCTAGATTACGTTTAAATTTTTATAAAAAAACATTTTATTTGAGAAAATAAAATTTCCTTTGTTTTTATGTCCTTTTGGAGTTTTATTTGATTTTCTTCTATACCTCTAGTTTGATTTTAATTTACACTTATGGCATAAATCAAAGACATTACAACTAAGAGACCAAATTGTTTACATTTTTATGTGGCAAATCATTATTCCCACCAGATTCTCGTTTATTGCGTCTTTGCCGATTTTATCAGTCTGTCAAAATTATTTGGAGAAATTACTTTCGAAAAATAAAATTTGATGTACCCTGTAACTATAATTTTATATTATATAAATAATATGTTTTTAATCAAATTATTCTTTGAAGTTTTAATATAAGCTAAATTTTTTATTAAAAAATCAATATTAATCTAAACAAAATATTAAGGTTTCGAAGAACTCCGTAAATACGGCAACGCTGAATATCTTATTTTACGAATTTACAATTTTTATGAATGAAATGTAGTACCGTAACCAGCCGCAACGTTGCCAATCAGGTCTAACAGCTATTTTGTATTTCTGACAGTTTCTGTGTGACTTATTGATTTATTCATTTCTAAAATACTATTTTTGTGAACTTTTGTGAGAAATATAAAGAATTATGGTACATGCATGTGTAGTGTTCAAAAAGGTAGATCATTTAAGTCGAAATGTATGGTTTCATCGGTAAGTTTTTTTAGGTTAAGATATGTTGTTTTCATTTGAACCAGTGGAGTAGGGCTTGTACAAGATTTGATACAATTTCTTATAGAATTTAAATAATATAGGATCACATAGTAAATTGTTTGAAAAATGATTATCCAATCTAATTTTTCAGACAATTTACTGCAGGTTTGATAATATACAATTTAAATTGTACAAGAAATTGTATCAAAAACTTGTGTAGTCTAAAACAGTTTTTAAAGTGATATTCCTTTTATAAATTAGTAAATTATACCAATAAATAATTATTGAATAGTGGCAAAGAAAATTTAACGTAAAATGTAGAATACCTTAAAAATGATTTACCTATTGAGCACCTATACATATTTTTTATTACTCTATTTAGGTTTCCGCAAGATCCTGAGAAAAGAAAACTTTGGTTTTCTCTAATAGGAATCCTTGAAAATCAGCCCTTTCGTAAAAACCCAGAGTTGTGTTTAGAACACTGTTTTCCTGAAAATGTTTTGTTACGTGCAAATGGTAATAGATATATTAGAAAAGATGCAAACTCCAGACGGTGTGAGGGTTTTCTATTTTTGGATGACTTATCCAACAGGTAAAAATACAAAATATTAATTTTTTGTTTACCTCTAATCATTATTTATTACCTATATGTATGTATATCTAATGTATGGGTTTTTAGTTCTGATTCAACTGTTTTTGGAACACCACCTGCTGCAAAAAGAAACGTTGCAGTAAGTTATAACATTAATAACTAAGCATAAAAAAATTAAATGAAATTTTAGTTAATAAAATTAAAGTATTTTATATATTTAAAACATTATTTTAAAAATTTTTACAGTTTTTTACGATATTTTTTGCCATACCATGTTTTTTTGTAATTATTAATTAAAAAATTATATATTTTTAGGACAGTGTTTTATTTAGATACCCCTACCTACTTAATGTTAATTTAAAATTTTAAATCATTTTTGTTAACATCATACCAGGCAAATATATAGTAAATGCCTATAAACCAATAAATATTAAAAATCGAAAGGTAACTTGAATTCGCTTGTATTTGAATTTACTTGTACTTGAATTTACCTACATAAAAAATCAGCAAGTATCATGCAAAACTATTGTCATATACTCTGAAGGCAATTCTCTCACCAGAAATCAAATCACCACTGGTGAAAGACTGTCTAGAAGACCTGACAGAGCTAAGTAGTTAAAATAAGGTGACCTTAGCCTGGGTTCCAGGCCAGGAGGGATATCAGGGCGACGAATTAGCCGGAGGAGGCTCAGATAAGGCCATGACAGGCCCGGGTCCCTTCTGTGGAGTTGCTAAGGCATTGTGCAAGGCATCCATTAAACATCCATACAAACAGAGTCTCAGGAATGGTGAAACAACTATCCAAGACTGAGACAGGCCAAACAGTTCATTAAGGAACCATCGGCCAAGTTCACGAAAGACCTACTGGATCAAAAGCGTCAAATCGTTAGGATAACAGTAGGCCTTCTTACTGGATACTGTCGCCTCAAAAGGCACATGAGTGTCATAAATCCAGCAGAAGAAGCAACTTTGTGCAGGTTCTGTGAAGAAGAAGAGGAAACAATATTCCACGTCCTGTGCCAATGTGAATGCCTGGCTGGAATGAGGTTTCTAACATTGGGCGAAGAAAAGCCAATTGCATGCAACTACATGCGGGAGCCACTGTCAAAGCTACTAAGACTAATAAAGAAGACCAGGCTAGATGACATACTCTAAAACAAACAGGAGTCTCACAATAGATCTGAAAAGGTCGCGGTGGACAAGGACAAATAACGTCCAACTCATAATCTAATCTACCTACATGAAAAAATCATCATAATTATATTACTAAAAAAATATACCTACATATTTACGTATTTTTTTAACATACTACTCTGACAATACTGGTAAGTTTAAAACTCTACGCCACTGGCGAGCATATTATGGACACTGTTTACAACGTTGCCAGCCGGTCATAAGAGAACTGTCTTTCTCTCTTCCACTCACTAACAATTTTAAAACAATAACATTTCGCAATTGTATGGGATTTATGAATGATGTCTTTGGCATAAATCGACGAGATTTCGTAGGCTAAATATCATATATACCTCTGTAATTTTTTGTATCATGACTTTTCACTACGTCAGGTGGCGAGTATTCTGTAAAGTTAGTCTGTCTTATGAAGACTAGAGATAAGGAGACGAATCGGCATACTCAAAATACGGTCCCAAAAAAACGCATGCTAATTGAGCTTTTATAATTAACCGCATGGGCGCTGGTCTGCATACGGTGTTCAAAATACATGGATTCTTATATGAATTATACATAATTTTGTCAAAATAATAAAAATAAACTTGTTTATAGCTAAATAAAGCACAGAACATACTGTTGTATTTATTTCTAAATAAGTCTTGCATGTTTTAATTGATAAATTATTTAATTTAATCTACATAAAATACAAATTAGGTATGTATGACTAAATTTGAAAAGGTTCCTTAAATGCTGAAATTTGATAAGTACAATTTTGTGGCAATTTTTTTTTTAATTGAACTAATACATAGTTTTAAGAGTAAAATAAAACACAGTTAACAGATTTTTTATTGTTGTAATACAAGTATAAAGGGAGATTTGGGAATGTACATTCATCCTTTAATTTCAGCTTTTCCCTTTTTATTTTGCTAACAGTAGCATCAGTAAAAATAGTCTCATAATATTTAATAATATCTTCTAAAAAGTATGGAACAGCATCATCTCTAGAAAGTGCTCTATCGGCACTAGGAACGATATACAGGGTGTCCTGAAATTGGATGGTCATATTTTAATAGCGTAATCTACATCCTAAAATAGGAGTAAAAGTTCATATAAACATAGGTCCGAGATACAGGGTGTTAAAAGTGAAGTCCTGTTAACACACTTTTGTAAATATTTTCTAAACGTTTAAAGATAACTAAGTGAAATTTGGTACAAATGCTATTTAATGGACTAAACCCCAGTTTTTGATCATCTTCATAAGTGGGTAAATTAAGGGGGGCTTAGGGTAAAATTGCCCTAAGTTTTTTTGCTGACACTTTTTAACATCTTTGACTATAAAATTTGGAAAGCCAATGTTTCCTTTATAATAAAGTTACTATTGTTGCATCTCGCTAGGACGCACCATTTTCAAGAGAAAAGCATTTGAAAATTTCATGATAAGTTGATGTTATCATATTCGAAAGTGTAAACAATAATTAGTAGGCCTGTGGAATCAGAAATTTGATTTGTTTTTAACTTTGGAAAACCGGTGACTAAAGAAATTTTATAAAATATTTACAAAAATGTGCCACCAGGACTTCACTTGTAACACCCTGTATCTCGAAAACGAAACATTTTTGGACCTATGTTTGTATGAACTTTTACTCTTATTTTAGGATGTAATTACGCTGTTAAAATATGACCGTCTAATTTCGGGACACCCTGTATATGCCGCCACTGTTCTAAACGTTTAGTATCCTATAAAAAACATTTACAATGACACAATTGGGGTAAAAAAAAATAACAGTAGCAACTCTTTATCTAACATTAAAACTCTATTAAAATAAATTTTCTTTCCTAGTAAGTTAAATTTAATGCATAATTATTGTTGTTTGTAAGTCAGCATCTAACTGTAAAATTTAATATTATAGAAACTTCGTAAGATACATATTGCGACTAGTTTACAATAAATATTATATTTAGACATGAATACATTATTTTACTTACATTAGAAGTTTTAAAAGACACTGAATTGATTTCTTCTTGTGTTTTCTTTAGTTTTACATTTGATTTTTATCCTGTTTTACAATCTGGAATGACGTAAATCTTGCTTTGATGTTTTTTGTAACTGATATTTCTTGTACTCAGGTACTTTTTTCACATTATTTTGATTCTTTTCACCATTTTTTTAAAAAATCACTTCCTTTTACATTGACTTACATAGAAAATTGACTCCGCTGTCATTAGACATGCCAACTACAGTCAATTTCGCGAACTTTATAAAAAGAAGGACGAAAATTTTAAATTTGACCATTGCCGATTTGCCTCCTTCTCTCTAGTCTTCATAGTCTGTCTAGTGCGATTGAATGAGTAAGAAGGTAGCTGACTCCGGACACGCATTGCTCGTGCTGAGTGTCTACTGAAACGAGATAGAATATTCCGCCATTTTGCCAACTAATTGTCAGATTTAAGTGTCAACTTTCGATGTCAATAATGCCGATGCTATTTTAGAGTTTTGCATTGTTTTCGTTTATGTTCGTGAATTATACGAGCTTTCGAATTTTGTTCAGTCGTTCAGTTCCAATATACCATCCCAAGTTTAACACAGAGACACCTTTACGGGGAAATTATGATTTGT